AGACAAATAAACACGAAAAAAAACACATTGGACCAATAGTCAGTATTCCATAAAACAGAATAAAAGAAAACCTTCCAATAGTTGGGGCACACCACACCCGAAATACATAGGATGAGAGCAGGAGACAGGGTAGTGAAGGGAAGGCCAGGGAGTAAAAGTGGTTTGTAAGCCAGGATGAAGGCCCAAAAAATTGGAGGGGCAGACGTAATATCCAGGGGGAGCGGTTTCCACAGAGGGTGGGCCCAAGCAACTGCAAAAGCTCATATCACCCTCTGGTTGAGCCGTTGAGCGCGAACATGCAAAAAGCCCTTTAATTTGAGGATCTCAAGGGACCTTGAACACAATAGGGCTGACATAGGCCAAGCGATGTAATATTGGGGCCTAGCCACATGTTAGTGCCTTTAAAACGAAAATAATAAAACTTTGAAAGGATCCCTAAAATAACTGGACCAGTGCAAGGGCCAGAATGGGTGATTACGCTCTGGTGCCCGTTAAAAGACGCCGCAGCTGCGCTTATTGGGACCAGCTAGACGTGTAAGTGAAGGATTCGGGGAGGCCTTATTTACCAATGTGTTTTTCTGTATTATTTGCCTTTTTTAGTCATCCACTGTACAGCACTTTGGTCAGTTTATACTGTGTTTAAATGTGCTTTATAAATTAAATTTACTTACTTACTTACTTATTTCGTAAGAGATGTGTTACATCCTAAACTTTGTAGGCTATTTCTGGCCTTTTGGACTGTTGAGACCAAAACACGAACAAAAAATATATATTGATTTGGCATTTCTACAGAAAAGCAGAGGATTATTTGGGTCAATATATTGGCAGCAGTGGCCATTAAAGAAACTGCATCTTACTGCACTTCACATTGTTTTTACAATTTTTAGCTCATAAAACTTATGTCACAGCATACTAAATCTGTAACAATGACTTTGAATGGGTTTCCCAGGTATGTCCTTTTGAGCTTTAAATGACATAATCAGCATGTTATGTGAAGCTCCAGTTAGTTTTCAGCATCCCTGCACCGGTGTCACTTACATAGATTCCTATATATATTTATTGGACTTGGCAGCGCCTTGGATCATGATTTTGAAGCATATTTCTTTTCTAATTGAGAGCTGCTGTCATGTGTTGGACCACTGCCACCTCTTGTAAAAAGTACTGAGGAGGAAAATGTATTAGGACCATCTGTGGGGAACATGAGATAGGCTGTTTATATAATTCACGTGATGACAATGGCCAGTGCAGCACAGGTTACTTTAATGTTACAAGAGCAGTGTCTCCTAAGACAACAAAGAGTTTTTTAAACGTTCTGAGTCAAATAACAGACCTGGAGCTCAAGAACACTCTCCTCTCAAACACAATAAAAATATATAGAGCGTGATAGAAACACAGTAGATCTGAGTTTGAGTAACAAACTGTTCTCAGATTCCTGCCTGAAGCAGATATTATCTCATTGGTTGAGTTTCATCTGAACGGGTGGAGTGAAAGAGAACTGGCAAACTTTATAACAAAAATAATACAATGATAAAACATAAATGACTACTTTAACTACTAATAGCTAACTTGCTAACTGACAGCGAAAGTAACTTTTTCTAAAATAACATTTTGTGCTGAAAATTTGTGGTCTAACTAGTGTAACTAAGGAATAGTTCAAGATCTGGGGGAACACATTTTTCTTTTCTTGTGGCCGTGCATTAAATACAGAGGAGTTGGTCGTGGTTAGCATAGTTTAGCCTAACTGGAAGCAGGAGGAAACAGCTAATCCGGGGCTCTGACCAACACCACTAGAGCTCATAAACACATTGTATCTGCTTTGTTTAATCCGTATGTAAGCATAAAAACAAGAATTTGTGGTTCTAGGAAGAGTTGGGTACCATTTAATGGTGAGAAGTCTTTGCAGTAACTTTGAGCAGCTTCCTGAAGTCTTAACATCACAGTAAAGTTTTGGTACCATCGTCCCGATACAGCTAATGCCACCTGAAATCACAAATGATAGTTTTTACATTTCTGTTTGTGTATATTTTCAAAAAATGAGATGAAACATGTTAATTAGTTCAGAGTTTTAGAGTTGTTGATAGGTCCTTTTTATTCATAAATGTAATTCTGAAACAAATCCATATGCTATATAACTGTTGGAAATAAATAAACAAATAATAAATTATAATCTTTGGTTCTTCTAATTTTTATTACTGTTATTTTACTATTTTGTGTCTGCCTGTATCACCCAACACATAAAACTGTTTAAATAAGAGGTTGAAGGCCAAAATCTACTGACATCTGACCAATCCAGTGTCAGCTTTAACTCGTAACACATCTGCATCCAGTAACATTAATTATAGTCTCCTGTCCAGAAATTAGAAGTGTCACTTTCTTATAAAGCATTCCCCTTTTCTCTTTCATTACACGTATAAGATAACAGGCCTGATGTGGTGCAGAGCTTGCAATTCCTTGTCAGGCAATCAGAGTTTATTAGAGCCCTTTTTTGTGTCCAAATAGCCTTCAGAAACCTGACAGCCATTACACAGGAAAGCTCAGCTAAATTCTTTACTGCTATTAGTGGTTGTAATTATAGAAATGATCTCAAACTGACTCACAGAGAGTATTTCCTGCACAAAGGGACAGAGGTGGGTCGGAAACCTCCAGTGGGTCCAACTCTGGAGTATGTGCATTTTACCTACAGCTGCAAAAACAAATCAGATGTCTTTCCTTTAACTTTTATTCTGTCGTTCTTTGTCACACACACTCAAAAACTACACTTCACAACACATCGTCTCCCCTTTTATGTCAGTTGCCATCATAATTATTCCTCTTTTTATCAATATTTGATTGAATATATTGATATTGGATCAATCTAATGCCTGTGCATTAAGTACGGAGATGAAGTGTGGCGGTAGGTAGTAGCAGACTGGAAACTTTAGTTCAACAATCTGTCGTCTACAGCTCACCAATAATCACGTTATATCTTGTTTGTTTAATCCATACAATAACAGATATGAAAAGGGATAATAAGGACAATACGTTGTTTCAGGGGGAGTTGTGTGCTGAAATTTGAGCAACAACAATTTATCCAACCGCCCAGGACTCCTGTGCAGCGTCTCAGCTAGCAACATCACGGTAACGCCCCATAAAACCACAAATTGTCATTTTTACATTTCTTGTTGTGTATGAATTAAACAAACAAGGTACAACATGTTAATTAGCGAGCTTTAGAGGTGTATTTTTGGTCTTTAGACAGGGCCAGGCTGTCTGTTTCCCCCTGCCTCCAGTATTTATGCTAAACTAAGCTAATCCTCTCCAGCTCTGCACTTAAAGGGAACGCCACCGATTTTTTTTTTTTTATCAAAGTCAGTTTACAAGTGTTGGGAAGTAATACTGCATGTGCAAAAAAATTGTATAAAGCCTTTTTAGTCACTCCAAAAGGAGCTGTGTGAAGTTTAATAAATGTCTGCAAGTGACGTAACTTGCATCGGCATTGGTGGGGGCTGAACTACAAGTTTGAAAATGAAAAGAATCTGTTGGATTTAGAAAGAAATGAGCTCACCAGACCTCAAGCTCGCTCTTCAACTCTGCTGCAGGTTAGAGGCTGCAGGCTATATTAGCCGCTACTAGCACGACACAGACATGTAAATGATATGGACTGTTAACATTACGATTATTTTGTCTGTTTTTGGTAGAAAGGGGAAGTTTACATCCTACATTGATGGATATTCTAAAGGCTTATTCCAGTATTTACTTTACTCATTATTTACCAAAAATAACTGTACTCCTAGCAGACAGAGTCCCTGTCTGGTGAAAACTATGTATGTCCAAATATAGTGAGCTGTAATTTATAGCTAATTTTAAGAATGAAGTATTCCATGGGTTGAGAAAATTCTGACAGAAATAATAAACTAATAATAAACCCATTTGTTATTTTACTTCAACTGAGTCTCAGGCTCAATGTAATACTGATGCCTCTATATGGCCTACATAAACAAATGAGACCATCAGTGAGAAGATTAGCTATTTCTACAGTAGTAGTAGTTATTCTTAATGCCTGCCTCTGGAACAGAATTGAAATCAATGAAACAAGGCAGTAGAAACACTACTGTTTGTGTCCACAAGGGCCGCCAGAATCAACAATAAAGAAAGTCCATTGTTCCTTTTAGAGAATAATACAATAAAAAAAAATTAAAATAATTTTGAGACTTTATTTATGTTGTGTGGTTAATTGTTTCTGAGAAAGGAGCATGTAAACTTGCATTCATGACCTCAGTATTGCTGTTAAACCAATACGAAAAAAAAATCACTTTCCTTTAATTTGCAGGTTGTACTTAACATTGACTAAATTTGTTTCTCCTCATGAAAAGGATTTAAATAGAGCTGCAGTGTGTTTTGTGGTAGGCTAGTTAGGACTTTTGTGTCCTTAATACTCTTATAATAATCCTATAATATTCCCATAGGTACTAGAGTGTGCCTGCCTGTACAGGCTGTGTCATGGTGTTTATGGTATTTAATGTGGGATCTGGTGCATATTTAATGTTTTCCTGCTAAAAGTTAACATTGGGTTTCTTCCACCACAGGTGGGAGAAAAACGCAAAGCCACCATCCCGTGTTGAGTTGACGGGCACGCGGCAGAGAAAGGGTTAAGAGTCACATGGAAACGGGTGGTATTATCAGCCCTGGGCTGTGAAAAAAAAAAAGAGTGTGGAGAAAAAAACTTTAGGAGAACAAAGAAATCTGAGTCTATTTAAAGAGAAGTCGCCCCGGATCCTGCAGCCGTGTGACTCCCGGCATTGCGCATCGCACTCAGCTGCGCCAAAACCTGCCTGCCTGTGCACCACCACGGCTCGCGACGGCGGTGAGGATGCGGACTTCTCTGGTCGTGTGCTGCTGCGTCCTTGCGCTGCAATGCCTCCCGAGCACGCTTTGTCTTCCAGTGCGGGGATCCAGCAGGTACAAAGTGGCACCGGTGAGTTAAAGGACGCTTGTTTTTTTCCCTTTTTACTTGTTGCAGAGTCGAACAAACAGCAGGAACCTTTGCTCTGCATACGTTTGGAAACTCCTTGGTGTTTAGGCGTACAATGAGTCAGGTTGGTTTAACTTGTTGCATGCATGGGGGATTATGCATTCTTTCGACTTTTAAAGTTATCTGCAGTGTTGACTTTCTTCATTCTTTCTCCTGCTACAAGTCACCCCCCCCCGGCACACACATGCACACACACTCATATCAATATTTGGCAACTGTTTTCTTGTGCAGACTTTGGAGCGGAATGAGTCACTCCAAGATAAATCTGCATTTTTCTGCAGCTACAAGTGCAACCCCTTCACACGCGCGCACGAGCACGCTCTTTCTTCGGACTCATCAGCATCAATGACTTAAGAATGAATTAAGAAAAATGTCTGTTTTACGCGCACAGGAGCTGACCTGTCACTGTCATTAGCCCGGGAGCTGCTCTTACTTTGAAGAAATTACTATCATCACTTATTTTCTTGTCTGCTCAGCAGCTATGGACGCAGTCGTGATGACTTTGCAGCCAAAATCTGACGTCTTCTCCTCTACATGCATGCAGGATGACAGCAGAGTGTTTTGGTTTTACTTCAGTGCAGCCAGGCTTGATCTCTGGGGAGGAGGGGAAAAAAATAAAGGTTGCTGAGTTCTCCTGTCTGCAGGGCAGGAAGCAGTAATAACAGGTCTTAAAGGCATTTTGTCAACAACACCATAAAAGAGAGGGGTCCTCCATATGGACCCGTCATGATGGCGTCAGTGGCACGCGTTACACTGTCACAGTCTGTGGTGGCTTTACCCACTTATTTTAATGTTGATTGGTGTTGTTTTTATTAATTTATTAGTTTTACTGTGGTCTGTTCCCGTTTTGCAGCCCTGACTACATGCTGGAACTCACTATATTTTATTTTATTTTTCATTCTAATATTTCTTCTTAAAATAATTTTGGACTATATTTACCACAGCCCTAATCTGTGTGTGTTATAGGCATTCTGCATTCTGCAGCAGCATTCACAACAAAACACTGATTAAGCTGGTGTAGCATGGATTTTTCACAGGAACGTCCTGTTTAGATGTAAACAAAAACATAACTAAATTATCTAAACAAAAAGATGGCTCAGATAAACAGTTACAGAGAAGTATGCAGTAAATAGAGAGACTAGTTCCAGTGAATACTTTAAGTGTTTTTATTGAAAGGTATGATAGCAGCCTGACGTGTAGTCTTCAGTAAATAATGTTTGGTATGTCCCTGAAGCATGGACCAATCCCAGTGAGAGTTTGGAACAAGTTGATTATATAAGATGGCTATTTTGTGACAAGGACTTTACAGAGAAACAAACAGCACAATCTGGTATATCTGTCTGTCAGGAAATAACAACAGACCTGTATCATAAGAAATGTTAAGTGTTGTTCTTATGTCCAGTAAAGAATCTTGAAGTTGATGAAACTATTAGCTGGAGGCAAGGGCACCAGGTGTATTGGGTCCAAGGGGCCACTGGCGTCCCCACTTTACGCCCCTGTCCCATATTCCCTTTAAGTCTTGAATAACTCCCCTCAAGATTAACACTTAAAGTAAAAACATGTTTTAATCGTTCCCATCCACTCTAAGGCATATGGTAAAATAAAGCTGTCATATTTGAATGAAATCAAAGAGGACATTGTCACCAATCAAACTGCACATTATTAGCACGGTAATGGGCAGGTCTGACAGTGATGCCTCACAACATCCCGGCTATTGTTTTTGCCACTTGGCTTCCACACACACTGTAAACATGGAGAACGAGGGATGGTGTTTTTGTGTTTTTGGTGCTGTCAGGTGGCACCTCGTTTTTGATCCATTCTTTTGGCCAAGTCATACCAAGAATTTGACTGTTCCCTTAATCCTCTAGTTCCCAACCTGTGGGTTGCAAGATAAGTTTGAGGGGTCATGAGATGATTAACAGTTCAGCTGCACAAATTATGCTATTTTTTCAGACTCTCGTCTAATCTTTGTTTTCAGCTTTATGTCTTAAGGAATAAAAAACTGATGATACAAAACAAGGGGAAAACACTCAGTGGTCAAAATGATCATATACTGATCTTGAAATAACAATCAGTTAACATGATTGATTAATTCGATCCACACTGTGTGTTTTGCGTGAAAACCAGCGGTCAGACGTATGAACGATGTGTATGCGCAAAAACCACGCGTGCGCCTTTCCCCACACAGAAAATCGTATTTACAAAGGAAGAATGTGTGGTGAGAATGTTCGCACCTTACGCATACTTGAGACTAGGCGTACACACAGTTTAAGGTGTGAATCTACACAGAGTGCTATGCATCTGGCCCCAGGTTTCCACACATGAAAAATTACCGTTTTTCTAGGAACACATTACGAGAACCATGTTGCACCTGTGGTGACAACTTTGTTATGTCTGCTGGTCATTTTTTACGGGAAAGTCTAATCTGTAGTTTTGTCAATTTGTTCCCCTGTTGTTGACAAAAGAGTGAGTGATTACACAGGCCTGGACAGGCCTCAGTGTCTGTGGCATTCAGGGCAGCGGGATTCACAAAGTGCCTGTTTTCTCTCTGGAGTGAAGAGGAGGGGCTAACAGCTAACTGTTTGGGTATTGCTTTTGTCAATAAAACCTGAGTCCCTGGGTTTTCCTTTCTGTTTTGCCCCATCATGTCGATGTCTTCGGGTGCAGCGATTGGCCAGGGAACCGTGAGAGCAAAGGTGACATCAGAGCCGGCCTGGGTTCCCATCGAGTAGATCTAGGTCACAGCTGCGCCGGGGCTGTGAGTGGCCAATGAGACACAACAGGGGGGATGCAGTTAAAAGGCACATGCACCCCTCCTTTATAAAGTTAATCAGATGCTTTTGTTCGTTAGCAAGTGGAGCTTTCAGCCTCATTCTGAACCCTTCTCTAACCAGGTGAGAGGAGAGAGGAGGGGTAGCATCAAACCTCGGCATGATTTTAAAATATTTACAGTTCAGGTTCTGCGGGCTGAATAAACCCTGTCAGGACTGGGTGAGTTTGACAAGATGGTGTTGATGCAGTTTCTGAACAGTGCAGAGTTTGCCAGTTTGAAACTTGATTAATTTCACATGGTGCGTCTCCATCTCTTGACCCAAACAAGATGGCAACTGGAGAAGTTAACAGTTACAGTATCTGGTTTTCATCTTTGTCCATGGCAAGTAATGAAGAGGCACTTTGAGAGTCAAAATCCAAATTCATTGTAAACCAGACAGACCTGACACAGTTGGTAGAAGATGGGATCAAAAAGGGGAGACGTTATCTTTCTATATAGCCAGCTTAGCCTAAAATTGGCTTATTTTGTCAAATGTTTTTTTTAAAAGTACACTCACCAATATAAGGAAACAAGAACAAGAGTCTACAGCCATGATAGCGGCTCTGTGTTGGTCCTGGTGCTTTGAAAAATTTAGGGGATCACCAAAGTCAGTAGGTTTTAATCCTCTGGGCACCAGGAATGTCCAATAGTTGTTATAGTTGATATTTCAGTCTGGACCAAAGCGGTGACTGACAGACCAGCAGAGCCATCCCTACAGTTACTCTGCTAGTATGAGTAAAAAATGTTTAAGTATCAGGAATAGAGTTGTAAACACCAGGTGTTGCTTCAGATGGGACGGCAATAGTCTGGTAATAGTGTGGTATTAAAATCACTCCACTTTCCCTAGAAAAATACATCTTTTAACTTGGCTGAACGTTGAAGCCAAGTAACTGGGATGTCCTGAATTCAACTCTGACCTGGGACCTTTTGACTCAAGTCGTATTGCTCTTCTCTTAAGCAGCCATCTCGGTCTATCACTACCAAATAATGTTGAAAAAAGTAAAGGTGCCAAAAAGACCTTAAACAAAAGACAGCATGATTTGCCTGATAACTATTATTCTCCTGAGGACGTGCTCTCATTAATAATCATAATTAACAACGAAATCACCAGTAAGCCATCCTGTAGCCTGACATAGAGTCTGAGATCTCACCAGAAGAGGTTTCTGTGCCAGCAAAGATAAGAGATTTAAGCCGATGACCGGATGGTTTATATCACCTTCCACTGTCTTATTTTCAGATGATATACTGGATTAGCAGACTAAGAAGGACGATAACAAGGTATTTGTTGATAAAAAATTGTACATCCCCTCTCCTATCTGGCACTATAAATCCTCTGTGTAAGCAATCCTTTGTCCCTGTTTTTTCAATGAGAGCACACCCTTTAAATTGAAACCTTATCTGTCTCCTCACGTAAACACTCACTTATGACTTACTTCCTATCGTCCAGATTCGCTGTTGTTACGTTTAGACAGTTTGGACACTTAGATATCATGTTATTGAAAGAACTATAAGACAGACAAGTCTGTGATGTCCAGTGAATTTCCGGAGGAATTTTTTGATCAACTTTTGTCATTTCCTTTTCGATGAACCCACTTTCCCTCAAACGTTCTCTTCTGCTGCAGTTACAGATTTCCTACTGCCCTTATTCAAAACACATGTTGTGTGGATACAATGCATTGTGGTCTGCTGTTGCTCATGCTAGTGTACTCGGTATCAGCCTTTTTGCAATGGTTTTCCCACAGAGAGTGAAGGAACATGTCACAATACTTGTTTGTATGTTACATTCATTGTAAGTTTTGTGTTTTACCAGCAATAATTGCAAATAATAATTATAATGGAAAATATAACCTAATACCTAATATTTAAAGGTCCAGTGTGTAGGATTTAGTGGCATCTAACAGTGCAGTAACAGATCACAACACCCACCTTCACCCTCCCCTTCCAAGAGTAAAGAAAAACTACAGTGGCTGTGAAAATGGGAGAAAAATGCGAATTTTCCTATTGACAGCCAGTGTTTGATTTGATTTGACCTTCTGTGCTACTGTAAAAACATGGAAGGTGACTTGTGGCATCTGAAGATATGAATGCCTTTTTCTAAGGTAACAAAAACATGAAGATTCATATAATGAAG